GTTTTGTTACTATTTTATTCTTATACTAATAAAAAAGAAATAATATATATATATATATATATATATATACATATTTAAAAAAAAAGAATATATATATATATAATATCCAATCACAAAGTTCACACAGATGAGTCATGCATTTATGAAGTGGATATTGACAAAAGCAAAAAGAACGTTGGAGCTAGCAGATTACATTATATCAATATTTAATTGACAATATGCAGAAAAATATTTAGATATTAATATTTCTTTCCCTCACCTAATATGTCTATTGCATACACTGGTCTTTGAGATGCAAGTGCGTCCAGATTTAAACACCATAATGCTACCCCAGCTCCTAAGCCGTGCAGTAAAACAATCGGAGTTTTTGGTGACTCTTCGTTCAACGAGATGGTCCATATTTTATCTGCTGGACCTACTACTGGTCCAATGTCTACATACCATCCTCTGTATGCTGTTTTTAAACCTATAAAATTTTATTTAAAATATTCAGACATAAGTTATGATCACAATTAAAATTTTATTAAAGTACACTTCACTAAATCTTCAAATCTTACATGATAGAATCCTCTTTTCTGCAGCACGTAACATGGTTGACGATGATCCAGACCAGCTAAACCATCCCCAAAGCCAACTGCTGTTTTAACAAATATTATTTCTCTTCATAAACACAGTTAAAAAAAAAAATTAAGCTTTTATTTTAATTCGCCCAATTTATATTCAGATTATTTATATCAACAGACCAAATAACGAGTATGAATAGGTTTGATAAATATTTGTCAAGTCATGCTTTTGCATGACTAGCACAGGTACACGTGTATTAATAGCCATTATATCATAGACCATTATATCATTTCTAATTACGTATCTATGCGGAAATCAATTTCAGAGTAATTTAACGTCGCCTCGTGTCTCGAAAAATTTAAGATTCTAGAATCGTCCTTGAATCGCAAATCGTCTGAGGAACTAAACTTAAAAATCGTTATGACGACTGATCGATCAAATCTTATCAGTATTCAGAATGTTTTCCTGTTAAGTATTTTTCATATGAGTCGGTTATTTCGTTGCAATGAAAAAATTGGGTAAACTTACGCACAATGTGCGTCATACGACACGCCAAATATTCATTTCGTCATAAGGCGCAATGTGACGACAGCGCGATTAAAACTATAAATCGATGATCAAGACGGCATCGTAAGTGTTTTTTTAAATCAATTTAACAAGAAATCGTTTTGAATTCTCACCTTTTCGCCTGTACAACTTCATGATCTGCCATGAGCACGATGGCGACGGTGGACTCCTCGCTACAAATATTCCGTCACGAGATCCTTTGTTATAGGAAAAGCGAATAAACGTGTCTAGTATAATACTATTACCTCACAGAAACATATCACACTGACTGACGCACGCTGGTACATCACTAATGTATATGCAATCAGTAAGTGTTGTTGACACGGCACAGTATGATAGTAATGCAACTCTTGATTTGATGTATAATCGGAGTGCACATGCGCGAGATAAATCAGTTGCCCAGTAACGTCATCTACACTTTTGAGATACGCGTTTTTAGCTTATTATTACTTCCAAAATGAATCAGCATGAATAAAAATTATATAACTTTATTAAAAATTACGAAAATTTGCGTAATATTGATAAAATATAACAACGTGTTATTAAATATACAATTGTTAGATGCGTCTGTATGACATTAGTTGAGAATATAAGTATATTGAGAGCATTTCATTTATATACTTGTTACATTTAATACGAGTTCTAAATTACAAAAGATGTTAACTCGAACTTGATCTTGTTGATGCTAAATCATCTTTGTTTTTAGCAGTAAGTTCAAAGATTATATCTCGCATGCGGCTCAAGTCTACTAATTCGGTTTCTTTTCTCTGTATAGTTTCCTCTTTTTCTGATATGATTTGTTCATATCTCTGCAACGTTTGCGTCATTTGTTGAATTTCTTGTTTGAGTGCAGATATATCGTTTTGATTTGCTTCTATCTCTGCATTTTTCTTCTCTAAAACCTACAACATATACGAAATACATTGTAATATGAATTCGAAATAGTTTTTTTATCCAATGTACAAGAAAGTACCTGTTCTTTTTTGCCGAGAGAATCCTTCATTTTTTGCAAAAGTTTAGTCAATTCATGATTTTTGTTACTCATATCTGTAACTTTTGCTTCGGCACTTAAACGTTCGTTATCTAATTCTTGGATTTTTTTGCTTAACATTTCATTTCTATTGTTGCTAGCTTCTACTTCTTTTGTACGTTGCATCAGTTGGTTATTCAGATGCTCCAAATTTGTCGATTTTTCTACCACAATTTTTTTCAGTGACTCAATCTCCTAATACAATAAAAGTATAACGAAAAGGATAAGACGTTACAATAAAAACATTTGTTATAATTCTATAATCCACATAATCGTAGTAAATACTAACTTGTTTCTTTATAAGATGCGCTTTCTTGGATTGTTCTTCCATCTCGCTAAGTTTTCCCGTCAAAGTTAATTTTTCAGCTTTTGTTCCTTCCAAACACTGTTGAGTGTCGAACAATAATTCATGTAATCTACTAGACTCAGCTATAACTTGCGCTAATCTGTGTTGGAGACTAGTAGAATGATTGCTTGCTGTTTCTAAGCTCGATTGCATTGCCTTTTCGGAATGTCTTATTGCTGCTAACTTTAGTCAAATTAGTTACAATATATAAATATATATAACATTAAATTGTACTATAAATGTGAAAAAAAGAAAAAAAAAAGAGAAATACAAGATTATACCTTATATTCATACAATTCCATCACAGCAGACGTCGAAATATCAGCTATTTGATTCGCTTCAAAAGTTGATTTGAGTTTTGCCAAGAACATATCGAGACGTTCTTCTTGCGCAATGGAAAATAACGGTGTCATCTCGTTGCCGGTGTAATTCGGAGATGCTTTATTCGTGACTTCGAATATGTTGTTGTTGATGTTCTGAACCAATATCAATGGTTCCAACTGTTTCATGCAGAGTGCCACTGCGGAAATACTTCTCAAAGGGAAATGCCATTTTATATATACATATGTTTCGCATATTGAATCAGGATGAACATTTTACTGTGCAAAATTATTCACCATTCATGTGGGAATCCAATCGATGACGTCAACTGCAGGACCTTTTGCTTTACTTCCCCGTCACCGGTGAATAACGCTAGTGCCAGCATCATTTGCACTTGTCTCATACTAAGCAATTCAGAATACAGTGTCAACCAGTTGGAATGATTAGCCGCCAAGTCTGCCGTCAAAACTAACGCGTGAATGTAGAGGCTAGTAGAAGCATTCTGTGAAATTAGAAATATATATTTGATACAATTGCAAATTTTATGCTGGATATAATCCAAATATATTAAATAATAAATAAATAAATATACTCTAGGTACTTAAACAAAACCTGGATAAAATTTCTGGTCCAATCTCCCGCGGCAGTAAATTCATTATGCAGAATATTACTAAACAATCTACGCATTATATGTTCACTAAATGATTGCATGATCTTTTTTTTAAGTGCAGGAGTTTTGATCATTTCTTGAAACAATTGCATTAATTCGGCTTGTCTCGTTTCCATTTCCGCATTTTGATTTCCGTTTTGTTCGCTCTTCGGATTCGTCACGAGCATAAGTACAGATGGATCTAGCTCCATTAAAACTTCCGTAGAGATTTTCGTACGACGGGAATCAATTATCACAGCACGTATGAGCGCCAAGGCTTTCGAGCACACCTATATTTTTCGACAAGCATTTCAAAAAAATTATTAATTAATTTTTTTATCTGTTTATTTTGGAATATATATCTCAAATTGTTGCATCACTAAAAAGTCACAATAAATTACATACCTGTTCAACAGGTACCCATGTTATAGCTGATTTTATACAAGCAGGATATAAAGGAGTTAAAGCAGCCAATTTCAACTTCACCAATGAAAGTAAGAATTCCATGATGAGAGCCACGCATTCTGGATCTGTATTTTCTTCTAAAATCGCTAATATGTTCTCCACATCTTTGCCATAACTGATTGACAACAGAAATGCAACATTCTTATACATTATAATGTTATACAAAAATGTGATATAGTTTACTTACTTTGAGTATGTAAGCAGTGCATTTCGCATATATTCATTTTGTGCAACATCGTTAAAGAAATCAATAATTTGTCTTAATAACAAAATGTCTTTCTGTTTCACTGCTGTTCTCAGATTGGCAAAGGTTAACGACACAAAGTGTTGACATCTCACAGAACTGTTGGTATTAACTTGTTCCAATATAATCAGAAGCTTGCAACATTGCATGCTTATACTGACATGATCTTGGAGCTTTGACAATGTTCTGATGAAATCTTTAGTATTGATGGTTCTCATCAATGTGTAGACCGCTGGGAGATTCTTATAACAGAGATTTACCAGCACTCCTAAAGATAACGCAATAATTTCTTCCTCCTTTAATAATATCCATTGCGTCAATGTTGAAATTAAATAGGGAAGATGAGCTTCTTGCCATGATATTTTAATTCCATATGTTAATTCCTGAAGTAGTTTCAGCACTCGTATTTTTTTCTCAGTAGTCAGATTTGCCTATACGTAGTATACAAAAATAATAATTATGCTTAATAAAAGTATTTAAGACTTATTGAAAATAATATAAGAAAAATCTCAGTAAATATATCTCTTTTAAAACTGAACAAAAACAAATAATAAGATTTCATACCTCCAATAACTTTGCCAATGTGGGTACAAATTTGTATATGTGAATCAATGATTGTCTAGCAGAATTATTTCGGCAAACGTTTTGTAGAACATCTACAGCGCTCCAGATCAATGTGGATCGTGATCCTAAGGATCTCATGAGTTCATGCAGACTCACATAAAATTCTGCAGCTACGCTGGTTCCAGGATCAAATATACTCAAATCCAGCGATGCACTAATTATCTTAAGAAATATACTTTTGTAGAATAAGTACAGTTTGTTTGCAGTGACTTACAAATATATAATTATAACATAAATACATCAAATGTGATTGTGTTTTTCTATTTACCCCAAGACTTCTTTGCATAACGGACATAGTACTTTCACTGGGATTCTTGGTGTAATCCACAGCCGCTGATATAAATGCTCTCATATGTTGATATTTCTCCATCTTCACGTTCAAATTATCTTACACAGAGATTTGACAGATTGCTCCGTTTGACTGATATGTCTAATACGACTTGATACTTCTAAGAATTTATCACTGCGTCTATCGAACAAAAATCATACAATCACACGTCAGAATTCAATGGAAACAATTGTTCCAAAATATTGGAGAAGAAATATCAGAATTTTGTACTTTGACAAATAATGTATTTTGTTGCTGTGCGCGTTTTTCTTCTTAGATTCATGAACCGAACACCCATTTGTAAAAACCGATCTGATTCAAAATAGACCAATTGCGTTCATTATCAGTTACGAGCCAATCAGCAAATAATAATAATATGTACCATTTTCATGTAGGGTGGACAAATTATTTCCTTCATTTTTTTCTATTTTCTTTTTTTTGCTCAAAAATTGTTAACGTTAGCTGTTTCCTTTTATTTCATGGAGTTTAGTGAGCTAATTATAATATATTATGTAGTTCATGATTATAACTAGATTATATGAGCTACTATAGGCTGAAGAAAATCTTAAGAAAAGATGGCGCTGCGTACATGAAAACATCGCATAATAATCATATCCATACTGCTTCCTGCTTGCTCATAGTGGTCGGTACGTATACACTCGTGAAACGTGGAGAAGGAAAACGGAGTCAGGAGAGAGTCGCCTCGTAAGTGCATTCGCGCTGAGATTTCGCGTTTCAGTTTCCGCGCAACTTGGTAAAATCGCGCGGCAATTCGTTCCGATTGTTGCACCGCGTAGTTCCACGAAAAACGAAGCGGAACGAACGGTAACGAAAAGTGACGCAGCACCGTGCATCGCGCGTGTCTGTAATCTTTTCTTTCTCTCCCTCTCTCACTCTCTTTCTCTGTCTCTCCCTCTCCCAGCGCTGTGTCAAAGTTCCGACTGCACTCGACGTATTTGTCGTTGGTGTCACATCGATGTAGGTTACGAAAGGAAGGACCGGACATTCGAGGGTTCCAAGTCGTGTTAAAGTGTGTTGAAATCGCGATACTACACGGCACTTCCGCAAACGTATGCACCTAACCCTCGGCAACGTACTGCGTGACGGTAATTATCCGAGTGCGAGCAAGAGAACGGAACAACGGGAGTGAGACGAAGAGGGCACTGTGAAGTGCGAAACGCACACAGTTTCCGGATCTTGTGATCGGTTCTCGAAAGAGAGCCAAGGAAAAGAAAGGAAAAAAAAAGAAAAAAGAAAGAAGAAGAAGAACGACGACGACGACGACGGTTCGAAGTTGTGTGTGCCGCGTGGTACGGTTTTGTGTAACCCTCGTATCATCCTCCCGCCTCTCCGCCGCCAGGAGCTGTCATAAATGCACACGTTCTACGTAGATTGCGCGATCTATGCTCCGTCGACAGGCCGATCTATCGGTGGCGAGTGCTGATCGCGCCTGACCGCTATTCACGCGCGGCGAGTGAATCACAATCGTCGACGTTTGATCGTCGTCGTTGTCATCGTCGCCTGTTCAAGAAGCAGCTAAGACCAGCGCGTGGCGTTAACATCTTTAACTGAACGGCGAGCTTCTCAACGTAAAGCAGGTTAAGAGCATTAACTTCTCGAGACAATCACGATTCTCATCTTGGCAGGTGTCCGTCATCCTGAGAATGCGCGAGTGAGCGAGATAAGGAACGAACCGCTAAATCATATCGTCCTCCCCCGCCCCTTCCTCCTTTCTGGCCCGCGAAGCAAATGACTCTCACGCGGGCAGGAGATGGGCAAGAAGATGTTTGTATACTCTCGTGCTAACATCCGGACAAGGGAATCAAGAGAGAGAGAGAGAGAGAGAGTGAGAGAGATATACGCGTGTGTACTGTCACAGGACGCGTTTTCCTCGGTAGCCGTCGTGCACTTTAGGCCTCTCAAAGGGGGGCGTCCGATGTTTTTGGACGTTGCTGACGTTTCAACGGGCGGTGACGAGTACTCTTCGTGCCTGTGACAATCGCGGCACGCATTTATCGTTCACTCCCTTTATTCATCTTTCTGTTCTCTCTCCCCCTCTCTCTCTTTCTCTCTTTCTCTCGTTCGCTTGCTCACTCGCTCCCTCCTTCCCCCTCCTCTCCTTTCCTCACGATCTACTATCTCGCATTGCCGTTTCTGTCTCTCTCTCTCTTTCTTATTTGCATGATACTATGCGCGGCGCTTGCGCATACACACATGCACACTCACACCACGCGCGCTCGCGCGCGCTCTCATGGCTCTTTCCGTCTTTCTCCTTTCCTTTCGTCATGCCGCATCGTTTTAACGGTTTTTCATGATTTTTCGATAACACCCTCCTAAGTCCAAGGTTACAGACATACTAGAAACATAGATAATCGGATTTTTTCGCGATTGCCACGGCAAGACGACGGCCTGTACGGTGCATAGAGCGCGCGCGAGAGCGAACGAGTGGTGGTACTTCGTCGCGGCCCTTTTCATCATCAACGAGAGCCGCGCCGTAACGAATCTCTTGATTGTCATAAATGTGACGCACCCCGCGCGCGGGTGCATCACTCCTCTCGGGATCGCTCGCTCCCGCGAGTCTTCTTCGCGGTGTCACCCGTGACGAAGAGGATGAGTGATGCGGATGGACGCGCTCGGCGACGACGGATTAGCGCGAACACTTAATTGGATAATATAATTAACAACGTCAGATCTTAATGGGTTAAAAAAAAAAAAATAAATAAAGAACCTGCGACTTGTTTCCCGAATCAGTTAGCTACCTTTGACTTTTTATCGCGGTACTTGTAAGTAATCACCGGGGTTTCTCTAGTTGGCTCTAGCTGGTCGCGTTAGACGGAGCTTAATTAACCCGATCTCGCTAGACTTGTAAGTTACCGCTGCACTTTGATTCATTTTATCTTGAGATTTTTGTTCAGCCGCATTCACATATTTGTCGTGTCTCGTAGCCTGTTTTTTTCTTCTCAAGATGCCATTTTCATCATGCAATCTTTGTTTTTCTGGACATTTATCTTATCGCTTGGGTTTTGTGAAAGTATCTGCTCCTCAAACTTTGCTCCACGTTTTCTCCAATGATTATTCTTAATTACATCTTTTTTTTCAATTATATGAAAGTTTGCTTTTTATCTGTGTCTTGCATTGTACTTTTGTCATTAGAGTTGGCTAGGTGCTTAACTCCACACAACTTAGAAACATTGTAATTAATTACGCCTATGCGAAACATCTTATCTGTCATATAAGTTCCAGTATAAATAGACATTTATCTGCTGAATTAAGCTCTAGCAGAAACGACAATTGAAAACTCTAAGATCTGGTTATAACTTTGTTTTCATGTAAAGTTTTTTAGATGCTCTAGCATTTAAAACGTTTTTTTATCTGTTTAGCTATAAGTGTTACAACCGCACTGTTTCTTAATTCTATATCTATCAAAGTGTCATTGATTTCTTTAAATGTTTTAGCTATGTTTTAGCTATTGTGGAAATATTTGTGCATAATTTTCATGGTTTCAAAAATATTAATACTGCTTTATGCTGTGTAAATTAGAATTATTTATTTTTAAATATTTAGTTTTTTGTTAAACTTAAACATTATGGAGAGAACTAAAAGAAGAAATCAATAAACATGTGATTTATAAATCCAAAACTTATCAATTTAGAAAAATACCTTTCAGAAGATAATTTGATTCCGTAAATACGTTTCACGGCTTAATAATATTAACATTATTATCTACAAGAAAATTGTCAACAAAACTGCGAAATTAATCAGAATTGAAAAGTTGATTTTCTTTCTAGGTGATCATGGCGAATCGGGGTACGGCTCAAAGGCCAAATGGAGCGACACAAGGGAAAATTTGTCAGTTCAAACTAGTTTTACTCGGTGAATCGGCAGTGGGAAAATCAAGTCTTGTTTTAAGGTTTGTCAAAGGACAGTTCCACGAGTATCAGGAGAGTACAATTGGTGGTAAGAATATTTCTATGTAATTGCATTTTACTTTTACATTTGTCAAAATATGATTTGTTTCTTTAAATGTTTTGACTCTAATGAAATATTTGTTTATAATTTTTTTTTCAACTTAAAACTGAAACTTTGTATCGATAAAACGTGTACTCTTTGCATGTACAAAATGTATGTGTGATATTTCTTTATTTTTACACTGATCACTTGTCTTTATCACGAATATTGTTGTTTTCAGCTGCATTTTTAACACAAACAGTATGTCTGGATGACACAACCGTAAAGTTCGAAATTTGGGATACTGCAGGACAAGAGCGTTATCACAGTCTTGCACCAATGTATTATCGTGGTGCACAGGCAGCCATTGTTGTATACGACATTACAAATCAGGTGAGTGCTTTATGTGAGTCTTTGAGTACTACGGATGCATACATGCGACGAATGTCATTGGCGTGGACTAATTATTTAATTTTACGTAATATAAAATTACTGATTCAGTTATGCGTTGCATGGTTAATTGATATCTTGCTACAGTACCTTGGTACAGAAAAATATATTTCGTCATCGCATGTCGTTCATAACAAGCATTCAGCTGTGAAATTGCTCCGCTCTTTAACTCTTTAAGTTAAAAGAGAAGAATATTTTTAACGAAGATGAATCCAAGAATACGCTCAAATATATATTTGCTTGTTATTTTCTGCAGGATACATTCTCCCGTGCCCAAACATGGGTAAAGGAATTGCAGCGTCAAGCCAGTCCAAGTATAGTAATAGCGTTAGCTGGAAACAAGGCAGATTTGGCAAATAAAAGAGTTGTCGAGTTTGATGAAGCTCAAGCATACGCGGATGAAAATGGCCTTCTTTTCATGGAAACATCTGCTAAGACGGCAATGAATGTCAACGACATATTTCTTGCAATTGGTGAACTACTTTTCTTTTTATATCGATTTATATAGTAGATAATTGCAAAAGATTGTGAAAATAATGTCAGTGTCTTCGAATTATAAACATTTGCTTCATTTATAACATTATTTTTAATATGTATATTATTTCTAATAGCTTGAATTTCTGGTTTTATTTGATAATATATACATGCAATGAGAAATATTATTCCATCTTGCATTACGCGTTATCATTAATCAAATTGCATGGCGACGATATTTTTATACTTGCTGATAGGACATTGAGTACAACGGCGCAAATATTTTTCAAATATTAATATTAAAACATAATAACATAGTTTTACTGTAACTTTCTTCTTTTTTTTTTACAGCTAAAAAGCTTCCGAAGAACGAACAGTCAGGAAGTGCAAGTACAAGTGGACAAGGTCGTCGACTAGTCGAATCAGATGGGCAAAAAGCAGCAACTGGCAATTGCTGCAAGTGATTATCTAAATCCGTATGTGTCTCACAATATATTGGTATCTATTTTTACATTATTTGAATATATATACACACTATCTTTAAAATTAATTGAATTAACGAGAGACATTATTCCACTTATGAGGAGTCAGAAAATATTTGATATGCCTAATGAATATGTTATGAATCAAACACATGTTCAGTGTAACATGTTCACATATTTTTATAATGCTAGAATATATAATGATAAACGAAAGCGCGATTAAAAGAAAAAAAAGGAGCAATGGAAAAGATATCAATTTGATATAGAATAGACGTTTGCACTTTAAAATGCTTTTAACAGATTTTTTTTTGTACCAGTATCATAATAACGGGGTATCTGAGTGGTCTTGCAGTTTCATAGAGTATATTACATATTTCTGTTTATGTTTACAATATCTATTTATGTTTATAATATTTTTATAGCATATATTTTTGACTTTTACCTTCTTTATATTTATTGGAACAATAAATGAACACGAAAGACCGGAAATAAACAAGGAAGTAAAAATATGGATTAAAAAAGATCCCAATAATTATTAGTATATTGATAACGCTGTAACAATCGAATCTGTATGAGTAAAAAGTAAAAAAGGCGAGGAAGTAAATTGACATGCAATAGTATTGAGGAGTCTCATACGCGCTAGCACATATATATTTGATCACCAAATTTGCAGGATATAAATGTAACTTTAATATATCGCTGTACAATATCTAGCTGAAAATAATATAATATAAACTTGACATTAACTGTCTCTTGTAATTAAAAAGTGGTTTACACAAACTGTATGTAAAAAAAAAACTATTCTAAATTTTACGATGTTTTAAATTCATCTTAAAGATATATGTTTATCTTGTTAATGAATTTTCCTTTTAGCATTATTGCAATATATCTGTTCAATATACAAGCATCTGTTATAGTAATACATTTAAAATAATTCTTTAGTCAAATTCTTTCACAGTTGTATTATTATTTCGTTGCATTGCTACATTGAATAATATGCGATGTCGCTATTAATCGTCTCTTTGTTCTTGGAACGGTAAAACTTTAGTATTCTTTTAGCATATTTCTGCTAGATTTAAAGAACATTTAAATATATATATATATTACCATAAAATTTTTATTAAATCAATATTATTACTGGATAAAAATTGTAATTTATCATAGAATGTTTAAAAGCATGTTATCATTTTTATTCTAATTTTGCTGTTTCATTCTATATTTATTTGTAATTAATTTAGATACAAAATTTCGTGGAAAATAAATTGATTTAATAACGCATTAGACACGTCTCAATTGTAGGTACAGTGTAGTGTTTATGCAACACTATATGTTTATAGATATGAACTTGTACAGGTTTCCTTTCTCTTCGGTGGACTCTTAATTTCTGACTGATAAAGGTGCTACGAGAATATATGTGCATGATATTCATTGTGCAAGCTTGTGGAAATGTTTCTTGTAATTTACGATAATACTCCCATTTCCCGTGCAATAATTCTTATCATTGGATTGTATATTTGAAGTATGTTGTAATAATGATAGATAATGTGTAAAACTGTTCTGTTGAATTGTTACAAGAAGTATCTCAGGGTGCAATCCTTCTCTTTTCAATCTCTGATATCGTTGTATCTTAATTAATATTTATCTTATTTCCGCTTGGTGTGTGAGTGTGTGTATGGCGTGTGTGTATGTGTGCGCGCGCGCGTGTATGTTGTATGTGTGTGTGAGTGAGTGATACGAGTATCTAGACATATTCTGTTAAAACCACACAGGTAGGTTCTATTCGTGTATAGAGAATTTTTTCCATATTTACCAGGCAAAATAAAATGTTTTACAATAGTTACGTCTTGTGCATTGTAGATACTCGACAACTGTAATACAGTACATTATGGAATCATACATTGTGACACTCATTCTCCTTATCATTTATGTAATGGAAAAAAATGATCTTTATATATGTTCGAAAATTGTATATTTTGTATTACATTTTGATGTTATTAACAATAATACATTACTTAAACAATCATTCTATTCGCTTATGTGAGAACTGTTCTTTTACTGAGGCAATTAGTCATTTTTTCAGAGATTCTTGATTAAATTAGGTAAGTTGCAAGCAAAGTTGTTAATTGTTCAAGAAAACTTACTCTTACGATATGTCACCGACACAATTTTATATTGTTGACTTTGGAAAATTTCTAATTAATCTTAATAAACACTCGATGTTGTTTCTCTAATCATATATTAATTCAACCTGCGTTTTATACATATTTAAAGTAACACTGCAGTAGATGCGCTATCTATTTCTGATTACAGATATGTACTATAATCTACAAAGATAAATGCATCATGAGTGTGGTACGATGAATATGAGAGGAAGACACACAACAAAGGAAAAATACTACACAGAGTGGGAAGTGTACTGTGCGGGACATTCGCAAACATTTTGCTTGAGTGATTGACTAAGAGTTTGCGTCTCAATGTAATCGACGATATATCATCTATTTTGAGTATCAGATCTATTAAGAGATGGTAAAAAAAAGCTCCCATTTGTAATTCTAGTAGTAATGGGCGGTGTTCGTTATAAATATATATATAATTATATATATATATATATATAAATATATATAAATATAAATAAATCATATAGGTAAATATGATTTATATGTAATAAGTAATGATAATGATAATAAATAATATTAATAATAATTAATAAGAATATAATATACCGTTAATATTACCGTAAATATTGATAATAACAGTACGTTTAAAATATGCAATGTCTAATGAATTTTTGGCACGCGAAGATCTTGTAACATAGGAGAGGCTATTCCTGCTGCTATGTATTTCCTTTCTTAGTTTGTAACACGTATAACAATTTCTTGCTCTAAAATATATTGTATATTAATTTTATTGATAACTCATAATGAATTATAAATAATTACACAGCAAAAAAATAAAATTGTGAATATTATAATGGCTCTCTTCATCATTGCTTACTTCTTCGATCGAAATTCTAAATTGAAAGATATAGATTTTAGCTGAATGTTGTGGCTAAAAAAGTATAAGTTTTTTACGCACATAAATTAGTCAATTTGTTATTGTTTTGTTAATGTTTCATACTAGAATATATATTCACTATCATTATAGTTCAGATGATACTATCTGCATAATCGTCTGTATTGTGGAATGTCAGAGAACGATGTACAGAAATGATGAACGATTCACGTAACAGCAAGTCGGATGAAACGATAATAGATGTGAAACGCAGATTTCTATCTGAATGCGCTATACCGGATGTGAGAATTTTGAAAAAAATATGTTCTGTGCCGGAATTGGATAGTAATACGAGTTACGACGACATATGTGGACCTTGGAAATTTGACAATGTACCATTGCATGACCAATATAGTTATCAACCTTTCACATTGATAACGTCCGAAGATGTTGCTTATATGAGACAACAGAGAGACGAAAAGTTAATTTTACTATTTCTCGGTAAAAATGGGTATTTAAAATTATTATAGCGCACAATAGCAAACCGAACAAAATATTTATATATCTAAATCTAATCTTTACATCTATAATATATTTTCAAGTCTATTGATATTATATAATAAAAAGGTGGACTGTTTTATTTTCAGAGAAAAAAATTTTACGTAATACATCATATAAAGATGAGAAAAAAGAAATACTTGTGAAACTTCTATGGCAAACTTTCAAATTTTTCAAGTACATATGAAATATATTTTATACTAATATTGAAAAAAAAGAATATTTTTACTTGATGTAAAGTAAAACTTTATATCTTAATATTATCAAATATTATCAATATTTTTACCACGTTTAAAACACAAGTTTATAACTCGCGGAAAGATAATTTCACGTATGTTTGTATATTTCAGGGAAAAGCTATTTACTGACCAACAAATTTGCACAGTTATAGAATTAATACTTTCAACTCACAATTTTTATCTCGCAAACTACTGGAACACAATTGAGGAAACATATAATTATTTTTTCAAACGTGTTCTTCAGTGTACCGTTATGGTAATTATTTTAATTGCTTTAATTGCACACACGTGTCAATCTGCATTAAATTGTTCATGCTTTCTGTGTATTCATCGATTCTAGGATCCACCAAAATGCGTAGAAATATTCACACCAAATCAAGCTGAGATAATACTTGAATTTTTTCACGAAATATACCTGCAAAATATTGTATTGTTACATCTCGTTTATATGACTCATTACTGTATTGTTATGCGGTTTGGCGATCGGCAGTGATATATTTGTATATTTCAAGAGACTTTTCTGAAGGAACGGTACATATCATATTTATTTCAAAGAAAGAATATATTTGACAATGTATATATGTATAAAGAATCAGATTTCACTCAAAAAAAAAGCAGACAGCACAAGCTAATATTAATATAAATCGTCTTAAAGATTTCTACATTTAACTTTTGTATCAATACCCAAGTATCCATTTTAATTTTAATAATTGATATTATTAATGTAAAATTCTTCTAGAAATCTAAAAACATTTGGCAATTTTCGCCAAAAACTATCAAAATTTTTAGCTCAAAATGTATCAAATGGATACTCGGGACAATAGTCGACATAAAAATAAGAAGAAAACTTCCATTTTTTCTTCAGTCTTTAGCAAAGTGAATCTTTTCTTTCTTCTTCTTCATTTGCTTGCAGAAGACGATTGATAACCATAATCATGGCTTTCTTCTTCCAGTGAAGTGTTGGATTCCGTTTCACTATCAACATTATTATTCATTTTATTTTCATGCTATTGTTTACTTTCTCACACATCATAATAGATGATGTGCGAGGAAGTAATCAATGGCATATAAAATAAAAATGCATATTGAGAAATTACCACCATGAACTGCCACAAGTTGATATATTTGAATCAGTTTTAATTGATTCTACGAAACATTTCTGAAAATATAAAAAACGTCAAGAAATTCTGATGGTACTTTTTTTAATTTCGTCGAATACCAACCTTGTATAAATCATTTGTATAATTCGGACTCGCAATTAGACCACTGTTTGCATTCTGATGTGTTACGACTGATTGCGAGATATGATACACTTTTTTAAAACCTTTATTAGTTAATTCTTTTTTCTTTCTTCTCAATCTCTGTAGCGATAAATTGGTACGTTTCATTCGCTTGAGTTTATTTAATAAAGCTCTAAAAAATAATTTTTATTTAAATAAATATGCACAGACCAAACGGAAATAAAAATACTTTCAAGATAAATAGATATGAGAAAAATATTTAGAGTCTATTGAATGTTTTACTTACTTTTTGTCATACACTAGTTGATTTAAAAGCTGCGTCTTATTTTCTAAGTTTTGCAGTAAGTTTTTATTACGTTTTTTCTGCTGTTCCATAAAACCACGAATGCATAAAACTATATCTTCAGATTCCTGACAAAGATTCCAGCTATTAACAGCTGCTTCACTTAAGTCAGCTGACATACATGCTAGAGATTGGTCCTTTGTATGATATTCCCGTTTTAAGTCGAGTAAAAAGTTGCGCATGTCTTCAAGCTAATGAACATAACAACTCAGTATGAAATAAAGTATGAAATTATCATAAGTGCGAAACTAAGAAAACATCTGAAATCTTTTATATTTTATTCTTTTATTAAAATATCTTTTCTCAAGGATTATAAGAAGAAGAAATATTATACCTCCTTTATATATACGGAATTATTTCGTTCAAGTGAAATTTTCTCTTCGTTAAGATGATAATTGTCGTACGTATATTTCTGCAATTGATGAATCAAGTCGTGGTTTGTTTTTTTGATTTTCGTTAATTCTTTCTGTTCATTTTGAAGCTAAAAATATCAGAAAAGTTAACATAAAGATTATTCGTATAATTCAATATTTTTTTATAACAAAAGGAAAGGACACACGTACCTTTTCACGTAGCATATCCAATTGATCACTATAATTGTTGCATTTATCTTGCGTTTGATGAAGTTCATTAGTCTTTAATTCAAGTTCCATTCTGGCGTTTTCCAATTCTTTGCGTAGTTCAGTCAACAAATCATGAAGATTGATCGTTTCATCCTTTAATTTTTCAATTTTTGAATTGAAGTCCTGTTCCTAAATAAAATATGTGAATGAATAATTAATTTATACGCTTCCAATACAGTAAAAAAGAAATCTCTATTTCATATAATGACATATTATTATTATCATCATTACCATAATTATCATTTCTTGCGAGTTAGATTCTTTTACTGCTGTTAACATTAGCTGTTCCTCAGTTTTATTAAAACCTTCAATTATTCGTTGATAATTATCTTCCGTTTCGAGCAATTTTAATTGTACCTCATTGAGCTACAAATAAGTTTTAAAAAGAATAATTATAAAATATTCATCTTTTTAACAAATACAAGAAATTATTTGTAATTTACCTTTTTCTTTAAGTGAGAGATATCTTTCTTAGCCTGGACTTCAGTGATGTGAATCTGCCTCGTTAATATAGAATTTTCATTCTAGAATAAATACATGATTGATAAATCAATAGATGCAAATTGTTGTCTATTCTCTGCTATATAATAGATACATTCTATATCTTAAAGTACCTTAAGCAATTCGTAATCAGCTTGCAATTTAACCATGTTGTTCGATCTGTCTTGAAGCAGAGTTTTCAAAGAATGTATTCGATCACACAAAATAGCCACCATCTCCCGCTCGAACATAGTTAATTCGGGTAGAATCTCCTCTAATTCTTGATCCTTTGTGAACAATTTGTTTCGAAGGCTTTCAAGTTCACAGGATTGGTCCCTAATGATTTCTTCTTTACTAACAGCTTGGTCCATCAAGATCTTGATCTACAAATTTCAGTTAGCATTAATAAATTTTCTTTTTAAAAACTAATATAAATATAATGATTGTTTTATCACATAGGATAGATATATTAAACAAGCGTAGGAACAAGAGAATTTAGGTGATTACCTCTTTTTCCGCATCTCGTAGTTTTAATACAACTTTTTTATATGCAATTTCCTTCTGCTCAATGTGCTCTAGTTTCTTCGACAAATTGTGAACTTCCGATATGAAGTATTGATGATCAGGTAGCGGATTTTTGCATCTTAAATCGCTGTCGATATCTTGAATCTTGCATAATATCATTTTTAATCGTTGTATTTCGGCGATACTATCCATCTCCACTTCTTTATCTGAAATATTAATTGATTTAATTCTTATCTATATTCTTGGCAGTTACAAATCTACGTGCCATTTTAACGTGCAAATATTTCTTATAATTTTACTTATTTTTTTTAATTTTATATTTTATCTTACATCTCAAATTATCTGGATATTCTTTCATATATAACATTCTACATGTGATGCCATTTGAAGAGTACTCTAAGTCTTGTATGTCGCAATTTTTGTCTTCAGGACATATTGTGCACGATTTCCTTGTGCATTTGATTTTGGAGGAATTTTCCGCCTGCATAAAATCCATCTGTGATACAATACAAAATATATAAAGACAGAGATCCCATCATAAAACAGAAATATTTTCAGTAATATACCTTCGATTTCAGCTCCGGGAAATCTTTTGAGCGACCATGCATTTGTTTCTGAAAAATTCAGATAAGATCACTTAATCAAGATCAGATTATTATAATAAACTTATACGCATATGCAATACATATAATTATTTAATCACTCAGTATCGACAAGTAAATTATCAGAAATATATAATATATAAGAAGTATGACACTTGTTTGACATGCATATTTCTTTATTGAAAATTTACAACTTTTTTGTTTCAAGTACCATCGATGTAAGTTGTTAAAAATAAAGTTTCTACAATCAAACTTTCTATTCTTAACACCTTGTTAATTGTTAAAGTCTTGAAAATAAGGATATAGAATGCGAAGGTAAATTTATCTATATTTTATACCATACCTGTACTGTATTTAGAATCGAATTATATATTGTATGCAGCATAGTGACATTCAAATACTTGTCATATTCCAAACAACGAATTCTTTTATGCAGACTGTCGATAGCATCTCGTTGCAAATCTAGTAACACATCCTGGCTAGTTGCCTGCGCGTATAAAATTAAGTTTATTAATATTTAACAATATGTAAATAAATCAAGAAATTATTCATTGACATAAATGATTCCAATTTACCTCTGTGAAACATTCATTGTACTGATGCTGCGTCTCATCGATACAGATTGTTAGTTGACGAATGGTTTCATCTTTCTCGCGAAGCTGTAAAGACACTTAGAATGCATTTATCGTACGGTCCGTTCTTTTAGGTCTAAAAGCAGAGAAACACTCACGTACGACGTAGTTTGTGTTATTTTGTTAATTGCGTATTACAACTGCAAATCTTGCAGCTTATCCGGAGCATGTATTAATCCAGATAACACATTACACTCTTTCGCTTTCCAAATAGGAAATTTGAATGCAGCCGGCAAAAACTTTAAACGCGTCGATTAAACGCACACACATCATGCATAGCGCTCATTATATCCTCTGCATTCGCAATGTCGCAACGTAATCGTAAAAACGTAACAGACTTAAGCGTAAAAACGTTAAAGGCAGAAAATTGTAAATCCATATCTTCAAAGAGTCACATTTTTAATAATCACATTACTGGCATTATTTATAATTGTAATAAATACATTCTGGCGCAAAAGCTAAATAACAATTTTGTCTATTCGTAATTCACACTTAAACGTCATGCACATTTCTATGGCTAAAGACTGAAGACGGTATCGCGGTTCTCAGCTCACTCACGTCGCTCATCGTTTTATGACTCATCTGATCCAAATTTCTCTTAGCTTCAACAACGGCATTCTGTAAATGCCCGATAGTCTGAATTTGGAGTTCATTCTGCAAAGTACAACATAATGTCGAGACACGAATATTGTTACTGTTGTGACATAAATGCGAAAAAAAGAACAAACCTGTTTTAACAATTCATTCTTCTCTTTCTCATATTGCGTGATAATGAGGCTTTGCTTATCAAGCTGTAAGAAGATTTTTATTTTATGTTTCAATATCATATAAATACATACCTTCAAAGTTCAAAGTTCTTGACAAATAGCTAGAATTTATACTTAATAAACGTATCGTTTGTCAATATGCAATGTGCACATTGCATACAGAAAAAACGCGAATAATAATAATAATGGAAAGTAATAATTTTTCGATCAATAATTCTTAATTCTTTGTTAGATAGCGCATATAACTTTTGATTTAATTTAAAAAAAAACGCAACATTATATACAAACTCTTTAATAAAAAATTATTATCGCAGTATTGTAAAGTCTTCTTTATATTGCTTATAATATACATTATTGATTATTCCATTTACCTTATCTTGCAGTTTTTGATGGAGATTTTTTACTTCAGCTTGGCTCATTGTCAAAGAATCCCGTTGTATATGTATAACTTCTTCTAAGTTTTCCAACTAAATAAATGATTTGGTTATTAAATTTACACTCAATTATGTCTGCAATACTTTCTCAAGTAAATACTGTCTCTATTCACAAGAAAAATTCAATTAAAAAAAAAAAAAAATATCTTACCCTAAATTGAAGTTAAAAGTTCAATCTTAGAATATTGATTTGTAAAAACAATGTTATATGCGTTATACTACAAAAAGATTGTATAAAAAATATTCAGATATTGACGATAAACCTGCAGAGTCATGCCAAATAATAATAATAATAAATATAACTCACAAGTTTCTCTTTGGAATATACAGCACTTTTAAGTTTGCTTAACTCATGACAGCAAGCATCCAATTTTTCTTTACATTTTCCTAATAAATCCGTCAGTGCCGCAACAGATCTTGCAGAAACAGAAGAAAACGATGATTCTTCACGTATCTGCAAACAGATTTTTGTAACAATCCCTTTAGTTGTCCAATGTAACAAGTTGTTTTGATAAAATAACAACAGCAACAAGAATATACCAATTTTTTAAGTTCACTTTCAAGATCTTGCACCGTCAGTTTTGCAGACTGCACTGCGTCTTGTACAATTTTAAATAATTCACATGTATTCTGAAATAAATAAGAAAAATAGAAATTATTATGAATTTTTTTGTAAGTAAATATATGTCTTCATATTATTATAAAATTTGTATGTCACATATCATACGTGAACTATTAGTAATTATAAATTAAATAATAAATATTAAAATAAAAATTCATATGATGATTACCTCATGTTTGGATGAATAGTCGCAACGTGAAAGCACTGTTTCTGTCACACAATCCATTTGCTAATAAAAATAAATTTTAATTAAAAAAAATAATATATATATATATATAATATGTATAATTAAAATATTGATATTACTTACAAAAGCACTTGAGATTTCTGCAGATTTCTTAACATTCGCTGCATCATTTAAATTTTTTCTAAGATTATTTTCTATTTCTTTCTGCGTTTTGATCTAAAGACACATGGAGTTTTAAAAGTATTTATAATTTATCATAATTTTGTACACACACACGCGCGCGCGCGCGCACATGATGTATGTATTGTTAGAGCCCGAAGAATCGGCAATCCAAAGATTGTCTTACAATTAAATAGATAGAATCTTGGGATTGCCGATTCTTCGGGCTTCGCTGGTAACATGTATAAAAATTTATATACGGTGTACAAGTATGAAATGCGGATTTGAGACAACAGATGGTGCAGTGTGTAGTATAAAGATTTGAAGTATATGCTATTTAGTTGTGCCATCAACAAAAGTCAACGCGCACAAGTGATAAATTGAAAAAGTGTTTGCATAGTATTGTTTTGCTGTGTTCAATATGTCGAAATTTGTGCCAAATAAAGAGCATTCGCGGGCAGTGTTAATTTTTTGTTTTCATTTGAAGAAAACCGCTGCTGAATCATACCGATTACTTCGAGAAGCTTATGGTGAACATGCTCCATCGCAAGATACGTGTGAACGATGGTTTCGGCGTTTCAAAAGTGGTGATTTCGATGTTGCAGACAAGGAACACGGAAAACCACCAAAAAGATACGAAGATGTAGAATTGCAAGCATTGTTGGACGAAGACGATTCACAAACACAAAAACAACTCGCAGAGCAATTGAGCGTTAGTCAACAAGCTGTTTCCAATCGCCTACGAGAGATGGGAAAGATTCAGAAGGTCGGCAGATGGATACCACATGAGTTGAACGAGAGGCAGATGGAGAGGCGCAAAAACACATGTGAAATTTTGCTCGAACGATACAAAAGAAAGTCGTTTTTGCATCGTATCGTTACTGGAGATGAAAAGTGGATATATTTTGAAAATCCCAAGCGCAAAAAATCGATACACCCAGGCGCACCATCCACATCAACCGCAAGACCGAATCGTTTTGGCAGGAAGACGATGCTCTGTGTTTGGTGGGACCAGAAGGGTGTGGTCTATTATGAACTGTTAAAGCCTGGTGAAACGGTTAATACCAAACGCTACCAACAACAATTGATCGATTTGAACCGTTCGCTACTCGAAAAACGACCAGAATATCGAAAAAGGCAACACAAGATCATTTTTCTCCATGACAATGCTCCATCATATACGGCAAAATCGGTTCGCGACACGTTGGAAGCACTCAGCTGGGAAGTGCTAGCCCATGCGGCTTACTCACCAGACTTGGCTCCTTCCGATTACCACTTGTTTGCATCGATGGGTCACGCACTTGCTGAGCAGCGCTTTGGTTCGTACGAAGATGTGAAAAAATGGCTCGATGAATGGTTCGCGGCAAACGGGGAAGATTTTTACTGGCGTGGTATCCACAAATTACCCGAAAAATGGGAAAAATGTATAACTAGCAATGGAGCATACTTTGAATAAATTACTTTTTATCATTCTTCCGAATTTAACGTGTTTTTTTTTGGAAAAAGAATCCGCATTTCATACTTGTATACCGGTAATGCTTACAATATTTTCCAGTTCTATTATTTTCTTTTTCAATTCCATGTTATCTTTGCTATGACATTGTCTATAATTCTCCGCTTTGATTCGTACAGCAGTCAATTCTTTCTCCATGAATTGGATACTATTCTTCAAAAAATTATTTGCTTCTTGTTTGCATTTCACCTGTTTCAACACATTGTTGTATAGTTCGAGATCAAGAACAAAATTTGTTAAATCAGTTAACTAAATAACATTATAGTTACCTCATGCTGCAACATCCTAATTTCAGTTTCCAAGTCAGTTACACGATTTTTCCACTTATTTAATTTGTCATCATTCTGCATCTGACATGTTTGCTATACACACATAGAAATTTTGCATATAATTTATAAATAAATAATTTCTAAAAGTTGTTATACATATTACATCTATTTATTTACCTGAACCATGTTAAGTCTTAGGTCGTCATATTCCTTCCTTAATTTATGTAAATCTTCTTTCGTTTTTATTATGTCATTTACTTCCTGTAAAATAGAATATAATTTTACATATCTTATATATATTTTTAATACTTCTACATATAATTATTTACATATAATTATATACAATAATTATATTGTAATAACTTGTTTTAATACCTGATTGTCAAAGGTGTAAGGTAGAGAAGACTGCTCCTATAAAACAATAATATTTACTATGTCAATAATTTTAGCAAACTGTATATTATACGTATTTATAATTAATATTTAAATTTATAATTAATAATACATTAAATTTATCAGAATATACTAGTTCGTTTTTCTGAACTATACGAAAAAATATGTTTTCCTCCATTGTATTTATCAACAGATGTTTTTATGTAACAAATATTTTTGTTTACGAATAAGCAATTTAGCCCGAAATATACATAAGAATAAATTTGGGAAAAAAAGGTTTAATTTGAAATATAAAAATAATTTGCAAAAAAAATGTTGATATCTAAAAATTTATTTTGTGCTTTTCACATTTAGTTTGAGAAAAACATGAATAAAAAACGAACATTTTGTTTTATCTAATATATGAAAATAAAGAATAACCTTTTCTTCTTGTTTTGTGGAAAGAAAAGTTTCTAATACATCTTGCATTTTTGTATGTGCACAATCAATTTCTTCTTCGAGTTTACCTAATCTGCTTTCTCTTTCACAGAATATCGTTTTTGAAACTTCGTTATTCAACAGCTGCACAGATAGTTGAAAATTCATGACAGATAATATTTTGCACTTGGAGTTTACAAATAATATAAATATGGCATTCTTAAAAGCCACTCACCGCTTCATCAGCTTTTTTCTGTAAATCCTTTAAAGAATAATCTATAATGCATAGCTGACTTCTTAATCCTTTTAGTGTTGACGTTACACAACCACCCTGAAAGATGATATTTATATAAGAAATATGTCTTTGAAAAGTCTAGAAGTTGAAATATCACATTTAAAGTTGATCTCTTTTTGAACCAACCTGAGTTTGAAATAATTGCAAATTTATCAATATTTGCTCAACTTCTTCCGTTAGCGTCGTTAATAAATCATTACTGATGCATGCTTCTGTGTATCCACATTCGCTGGATTTCTGAAATTTATTTCAAACTTTATCTATGACGAAATAACTAGCAAAACACTTAATACAAGTAGTTTTAAGAAATTTTCCATACCTGTATATCCTCCTGTATACCATTAATGCACCGAGACAGCTCTGATTGGACAAGATTAATTTCATTTTTTATATCCTTTAATTTAAGCTTGCCACTTACAATTCTTTCACTGTGCCTCAGTCTTTCCTCCTCCTGATAGAATAAAAATAGAATTACGATATTTTAGTGGTATCATAAACATATATTTTGGTATCATAAACAGATATATATATATTACTTGAAGTTCTAATCGATTTATTTCTTCTATAAGTCCTTCTCGCGTTCTTGCCAAACAACTTTGTACATTAGTAGCCATTTTGTTCAATTCCTCATACTGCAAATATATTGAATTAGCGTCAATCATTAATCCTGCCATAGACATTTATGGCAGTTTCTTTATTAACGCAAACATACGTTTTGGTGTTGTGAATTAAATATCGAAACAATCGTGTTTATCTCCTCGCGAATATCTTCTGTTGCTGCTTGAGCTTCTACAGTGCATATTCTGAATTCCTCCATCAGCTTGAAGTGCAGTTTGGTGTTTACATTTGACTGGAAAATATATTATTGAATTTTATAGCACAAGATATATTAATTAGCTATGTAATAAAAACTGCGGTTGACGCTATAAATGCTTCGAGACGATCCTTTTCTTTTTTTTCAATAAAAAAAGAGAGAAAGAACGCTTCAAAGCATTTGTAGCGTCAAGTGGATCACAGCCAAAATAATTTAAAATAAATACTACAAAAACATGCAATCTTACTTTATTATCTTTAGAATCGCCGCACACGCAGTGATTATCTTCTTTTTTTATCTATAAACAGAGAAAACTCGACAATGACCAAAATAAAACAGAACTAGGGCTATGATTATTTTCACAAAATAATCAATAATTAAAACAAGTCTTACATGTGCATCATATACATACCATACAATCAAACAGACTAATTTCTTTTTCTCTTTCTGAATACATCCTGATTATAATTTCAATACAGTTGACAAGCTTGTCCGATATGCCGCCTACGCAATGTTTATTTTTATTTGCACAACTGTTAGACATAATGCAGCCATTCAAACACACCTAAAAAATATATTCTTTTGGAAAAATTATGCATTATATAGATTACATGCTACAAGATTAATTCTAAATAATTAGTAATAATTAATGTTGTGTAATAATATTTACTTTAACTCTATTGTAATTTTAGGAAATATCTTGTTTCTTTACCTCATCATCTTTCATAGTTAATTTTTCAAGGAATTTCCCTAGCTCAAGCTTTAAGCTGGACAATATTTCGCATTCTTTCTGCACATGATTTTTTGTGCTATTCAAGAATGATATAAATTCATCCTAAAAAGAGAAATAAAATAAATAAATAAATATTTTTAAAAATGCAAATAAAGATTCTCTTCTTTAAATATACACTAAATACGCGTGTACAAAAAATTAAGAAACCTTAGAATGTGTAATATCTGTTGAAGGCGAAGAATTCTCCTGAAAAAAAAAAAATCATTATTAGGTATTATATTCTGTACAAATTATGTCAAAATTATGTCATTTGATTGGACTGACCTCTGATAAATTATTTGTATTGATGTAGACTTTCCGAGAAGAAGTATCCTGAAATCATATGAGAATATATAAACATATATTAACAAAACTTTGGCACATAACTAAAATTATTGCATATATTATTTATCATGACATACTTGTCAATAAAAATTTTTAAATTAAACAATTATTCCTGAATTATTAAAATTGTATATATGATTGATAGTGCGCAAAAATTGTATTTTGTAAAGTAAAAAGTATATATTACGCTATTAATTAGATCAATGATAAATAAATAAAACATATTGCATAATTCACGAATAATTGCTTTGTTTCTTAATTATATATTTGTTATATAATAAAAGCGGTTTATTTGAAATTTATGACTAATTTTGTAAGCAAGGCAATCATGTTGACGTATTTCGTTTTTCGCAAATATCGTAGAACAAACTTACTAGATTATTTTAAATGCGTTAATAATACACAAACTTATTACAAATGCGTGTGAATTCATAATTTATTTAAAGCAAAGATCTAAACATCCAATATGGTTTAAGACTTTATGGATTTATCATCGGATTTCATAATACAGGCTCTAAAAAAAATAAAATTCTCAGCATTAATTTCAACACTCTCGCAAAAAGTGCTAATTTTTGTCAAGAAATTTAATAAAAATATAAAATTTGTTGAAAAATTATATTATAGAAATAGCTTAATGCAGTAATTTACATTTCAATCCAACTCAGTTTATTTCGGGATTGTATTATTAGCCTTGTCTTGAATATGTGATGCAACTAATAAATAACTATCTTCCAAATTGCTATCTTTACACGGAGGTGACAATTTTCTAGCAGTCCGTAGAATTTTCTTGTCAATATTCTTTAAGTACTTATATCGATTAGCTTGAATATTTGTGCGTTGTCGAGAATGGCTTTGCAGGCTAACAGATCGATTTTGTAATTTTGCATTGATTGTTGATACATTTTGTCTCCCATAATTTAATACATTCGTAGAATCGCCATGCAGGTATAATCTGTCACTCTTTTGCTGTGTGGATATACGTAGGAGGTTTGACAATGGAAATTTCTCAGAGGACTTATAGGCAGATTCCACTTTAGCGAGAGTAAGAACACGACCATGAGAATTGCACACGTAAGGAGAAAAAGTCGGGAGATTTTTCTACAAACGTAGAAAGAGTGAGTTTATATTTTTAAAAATTCACACATTGATTTTGTACCTCTAAAGTCGCTTCTTTCAGTTCTTTCCGCATTTCTTTGATCAGATCGTCTTTTAAAAGATTTCCTACATTTGCGTGATAATTTTGTTTTTCCAATGTAACGATCTCCGCCGTCAGTGTACCCTGTGTTTTTTCAGCTTCCTAAAATAAAGATACAATGTACAAAGAAAAAATGAAAAAGAGAGAAAAACATAAAATTGAATATTATAATTATAATTGAATAAAATAAAATTAATTCATAAATAAATATTTAAACATAAAATACAAACTTTTTCTAGTTGGGCCACTTTTTCTTCCAGTTGTTGCACTTTGTTAGATTTTTCTTCCAATTGTACTTTCAAATTTGTTGCATCAATATTATTTTCATAAGTATGTACCATAAGCTTGGATTCAACATGCTGGAGTTGCCGCCGTAAGTTTCTGTTTTCCGTATCTTTCGCGTCTAATATACTTTCCAAAATGTCAGGTATTAAGATAATCTGAACAGCAATATATTTTTAAGAGACTCTCAGCCCGATATTGGGAACGTGAGATAATCTTGCTTACAAAATGTAAAATTAATTTTTTGCCTTAGCTTTTATATGCAGTACAACATGATTGCCTCTAAATTATTCTATAAAAATTGATATCCAGAATAAAACTTGCCAAAAGCACTTTTCTGTCTGTACAATAATTAAAAGAAATGCACTTACATTGCAATCTTGATCAGAAGTGATCAATGAGTGACTAATAATTTGATTTGTTTGTTTGACATGTTCCTTGAGTTTCTCGTAAAAACACTGTAGTCTGGAGATGTAATTTTTTATTGTCTCATCCTTCATTGATAATTCTGTCTTGAGATCTGCTATTTTTTCTTCAAACTCAAATTGTGATCTGAAAAAATATTTTTATATAAGCATGTAAAAAATATTAAAAAAAGGAAATACAAAATTATATTTTCTCAAACCAGTAATAAGAATTTGAAAAATACATGAACATTTTATCACATTTAAACATACATTAAAGAAAAAGAACTTTTAAGTGCAACTTTCTCTTTAACATAATACTACTATTGCAGATTAGAATTTAATTATTATTACAACAGATTATTAAATCTATAGAATAAAAAATTACAAAGTAGATATTGATTAAATATCAATGCAGATAAGATAATAACAGTAGCAGTAGCAGTAGTCACAGCAGAAATAATAATAATTGTTATATATTTGCTAATATATATTTTGCACATATCTTACCTGAGCATCTTTTTTTCATTTTCTTGAAATTGTTCTATTTGCAAATTCAAGGATTTTACATGTTCAGTGTCTGTTTGTTCCTGATTCAAAGATACATTATTAAATATAACACCAAAAACATTTGCTAATACCAAATAAATCGCTAATGCTATATAAAAGAATTTCCCAAAAGTATAGTACTCCATTAAATAAAATCATTGGCAGTTTATTCATATATGGTGTGTAATAATAATAAAATTTAATAACGAGTGTAGGGATCAAAGAAAAAGTTTTCAGCTCACACGGTAGTCGCATTACATGCTTTTGTTTATCAGATAATTTGATCTTTGAACTTTACCATGTTCTATATCTAAAATAAGTCTAAGCTTTTTGGTTGCGTTCACACACATATTTACCTGACCACAGATGCAGCTGCAATAATAAAACAAATTTTATATTTAATAAACATTGTAAGAATGTGAAATGTTCATTATGAGACAACATAGATAAAAAAGCTTACTCTATTGGAATTGGAATATTCTCAGGCTGAATCTCTAAGAATGTAATACCCTCAAGACTCCAAACATTTTGCTGACGTGCACGTCGAATTACTTCTAACAGTCCTCTAATGTCACTTTGCAAATATTCTATTTTTTGTTGTAAATATTTTTCATCCTTTTCTAATTGGTTAACACGATTTGAAAGAGTATTTAGAGCCTATTATACATAGATAAATTGTTACACCTTGATTATTGTAAGATTATTATTGACATAATCTAATAAACTAGATATCTACTTTACCTTTTCAGAATGATTTGATCTTGTTAAATTATCTACAACTATCTGCGATGATTGCTTCAGTTTCTCTTCTAACATTTTAACTCTACTGCATGCAGCCTGTTCTAAATCTTCCACCGTATGGACCAACATTGTATTCTGCTCCCCTAAATCTTTAATCCAATCGCTCATTATCTGCAGCTTCATCTGCAAAGTGTAATTTTTTAACAACACATTGAGAAAGCAAAGCCAACATTTTCCAGCTGTGATTCTGAGCATCGGCACAAAACGTGTAAATAAAATGGAGTAAAATGATGGAAAATTTTTCATGCTTACGGAAACTCGGTCAGATTCGCCATCCGATATTCGATCGACCTTTTCGATGCGACTTTCGTACAATTTGCGGAATTCATCAAGAATATGCAGACCTTTAGTTTCGCCGCATGATTCACCAGTACTCTCGTCAGTCGCCTGACAATTTTGATTTCGTTTAATCAAAGTCGAAGCATCATTCACATCCGTGGAACTCGGTAAACTGGCACTGACCGAGTGCATTGCTTCGCAAGTCACTCGAATTGCAGATGTACGTTGACAGATTTAAAGCTTCCCTACACTCGTTAAACGAAGATGCACTTCAGGTAAATATCAACATACTACCTCGCCATGTTTTAGTGATAGGAATGTCACTGGAAACATGGACATAAACAAAATAAAACACAATCGGACATAACCAGTGATGTGATATCTCTATGCGGTTCTCGATTGTATTGAGCTCGATAAAGCCTGCATCGGACTGCAATTTGCAGCAACTCGTAAGCGATCTAGTAAACTACTAAAAATGCACCATACAGCACACAGCATTTTTAGTAATTTACTAGATCGCTTGTGAATGTTGCACCAAGTTGCATGCAGTCTGATGCAGGCTTTATAAAGTTCAATGATGCAAAACTTTCAATAACTATCAAATTTTTTTACATATTTTTTATCAGTAACTTTATGTAAATTTAAATATTTAATAATTTGTAATATCTATATTATCTATACATATATATCTTTGTTCTTTTTATTTAAACACAGTGTACTTATTATTTTTCTTTATTTTTCGATTCTAGAACGCAAAATTTGCATACATGTATGTGACTGCTTTGTTACGCATGCGTGAAAATGTACCTTGCGTCAGATCTGTTTTGTATTGCTCGTTGATGCAACCTAACCCAACCTTTTAGTCTACGAATAACACTGCAACGAGTTCTTCATTGTGGTTGGCAGACCTGTGAACGCGTGCAGACCGGCGGCGCAGTGCTCGCTGCCAAAAAGGGATAGCGTGTAGAGTGATGCGAAAATTGTCAAATATCTGGTGCTCGACGGCGGTGCGGCGAGCCCGGTGAGCCTGGCATTCGTGTGGCCTGACGTGCGAAAACACGTAACAGCGTGAAGTTTACCGCGCGCGCGGGCGCGATGTCGAGCACCCTGGAGAAGAAGATCATGAACCTGGAGGAACGGTTGCGGGCGGAGAACGAATCGCGGGACAGGGACAGACAAGGCGGCGAGATTGTGGGTTCGGGCATGGGCCTGCATACGTCGTCGTCATCGGGCCCCATGTCTAGCCCTGCGCTCCGCAGACCCCGACAACGTAAGTTTTCGCTCTGAACGTGCAAAAATCCTCGCGAATCTCGACGCTAGATCCTTCTTTTCGATCGATACCTTCTGGCGACGCATTGTCGTCCACAATCGCACAATCCTACTTGTACAGGTTATGTTGATTGTCGTGATTTTCACTCTTGATTTCGCGAGTTTTCACGGCTGGTTACATCGCGTTATGTCTGATGTTGATCCTTGCTGAATGACAAAATAAAGTTTCTTCTCAGGTTTTATCATCTGTTTGTTTATCTTTGTTGAGTATGGATTGTTCACTGCTTCATTTATTTGTTTTGCTAAACTATAACTAGATCTTAAACATTTCATTATTTTATTGCTATTATTGTTACATATATAACGTTGCAATATAATTGGTATAATTAATATATTCAAATAAAATAAAATGATTATATAAACACACAACAAAAAATTTTATATACGCAACAATGAGATAAATGTTATAATAAACTTTAGAAATATAGTATAAGATTAATATTAAATTGAGAACTATTAAAATATAAATCAATACTATTGTTAAAATTATAAGTTTTTAACGTCTGAAATTAAAATAAATATTTTTATCCATTTTAATTCATCTAATATTCTAATATATTATATTTCTGGATATTTTTTAAGCAAATATCTGGTAAAAACTTATACAAACTTATTTATTTGTTTAAATGTATAAAAATAATTATTATGGAATTAATATAAGGAAACAAATGTTTAAAGAGTGATACAGCTTGCTTCATATGTTTCTCAATAGTGGGAGACATGGGTACCCCGACGCGACCTAGAAGGCAGCTGGATCTACCGGTGTCTCACATGGTACCGCCAAAGAAACACGACAGTGAATTCGAGTCAAAGTTGCAGGAGATCATGAAGATGAACGGCATCCTGAACATCAATGGCCAGAGGTATCAGACGGAGATGAAGGATTTGGAGCATCTAGGTGAGCTTGGTAACGGCACCTGCGGACATGTTGTCAAAATGAGGCACAAACCCAGCGGCGTGGTGATTGCCGTGAAGCAGATGCGACGCTCTGGGAACGCGGAGGAGAACAAAAGGATAATCATGGACCTTGATGTCGTGCTCAAGTCGCACGACTGTCCATACATAGTGCAGTGCCTAGGTTGCTTTATCACTGAGTCCGACGTGTGGATCTGCATGGAATTAATGGCGACGTGCCTGGATAAGCTGTTGAAGCGCTGTAGACAAGCGATACCAGAGGATTTTTTAGGCAAAGTTACAGTAGCAGTAAGTTTCTTACAATGGAACTTATAAAATGTTCTGTTACAAGCTCCAAAGAGTATTATCTTTATATTTTAAATATAAAAAAGTCACAGATTACAGAATTTTTCTTCTTTAGACAGTAAAGGCATTGTCGTACCTGAAAGAGCAGCATGGTGTAATTCATAGAGACGTGAAACCTAGTAATATATTGCTGGATGAATCGGGAGGGGTAAAATTGTGCGATTTTGGGATATCTGGTAGATTGGTCGACAGCAAGGCGAAGACGAGAAGTGCGGGATGTGCTGCGTATATGGCTGTGAGTGTATTACAGTATTAGAGAACGTTTAAATTTGGTGAATAATAAGAAGTAATCATGTGCATTTTTATCATTTATGCAGCCTGAAAGGATAGATCCTCCTGATCCTACCAAACCAGATTATGATATAAGGGCAGATGTATGGAGTCTGGGCATTACTCTAGTGGAACTAGCTACGGGAGTATTTCCTTATCGAGACTGCAAGACTGATTTCGAGGTAAGTTTTGAAAATTCAGAAAACAATTTTTGAATTTTTAGATCTCTGTAACAATGTTGTGAAAGATATGCAGTATATGTATTGCATATATAATAAAAGCATGTATCAGAAATTTATTAGAAAATAATTATTTATTTCACATTTTTTTCCTACATTTTATATTCTAAAATGATTGTATTCGAAAAGAAACTGAAATTTTAGAGTTCTTTTATTCCTTTCTGCACGTTGACATTTATTTATCATTTCTATATTTATTATTTTATTATTTCACTTGTCACAGGTACTGAGCAGAGTAGTACAAGACGATCCCCCGTCTCTCCCGACGGACACGACTTTTTCCAAGGAGTTTAGGAACTTCGTCAGCTGTTGCCTTACAAAGAACTATAAGCACCGGCCAAAGTACCACAAGCTTATGGAGCACCCGTTCATCCGCAAGTACGACGTGCCCCAGGATGGCAATACGAATTCTGCCTTAACGAACTCTAGCTGTCAATGGTTCGGCAAGGTTATGCGGCAGCTAGAACCAAGGTGGGAACCAAGCTATGAGGAACGTTTTTCGTCCTGCTTTCGTAGTTTAAACATATTTAGGATGATTAATAATATGTTACGAAATACATGTTGGTAATATAATCGCCGACAAGGCTGGTGTGACAGCGAAATCGCGAATTTTAAACACAGCATGAAATTCCTGACTAATAAAGACACTGATCTCAGTTTTTTAATAAATTTTTTTTTTTCTTTTTTTTTAATTACTTTATTTTTTACAATAATTACGTACGTGTTTTACGCGGTTTCAAAAAAATCTTACACACTTAACACACTTCCATCGTGGGTTGAGGCAATGAAGCTGCTCTAAAATTGAACGAAGTGTTTTGCGAATTAATTTGTCGGTCATTAGCGCTTGTACGAGGTGTTCCGTAGTTATCGCGTCATCGCGATTCCGTATCGATTTTTGCGACTGGAAAATGATCGATTTGCGAATTTGTCTGGAGAATTTGCGCCCGAAGACGCGATACACCCCCGAAACATCCAGTACAGATTTCTGATCGCTGATCACTATTTTGAAAAAAAAAAAAATCAATATTTACAGTTAGTTTTCTCGAATTAAAAGTTTGCGTGCGTGTTGAATTGTGTTGCAGCGTTGAGCTTGAGGGAGGCAGCGCGGCGTAGCATTTCTCCCTCCCTCGTTCTCTCCTTTCCCCCCGCTCCCGTCCGAACAAATCGTTCAAAGATTCCCCAAAGGGACTTTAAAAAAAAAAAGAAAACAGAAAAAAAAGAAACAGATAGACTATCCCGCTACTACTACTCAGAATATCCAAAAATCTGCCCGATTTTCATTTCGAGTTGTTTGGTTTGTGCACGCGCCTGTTACACATCCCACCCTTCAACCCCCACTCACGGTAAGCATTATTTTTTTATTTATTTCAATATATTTTCGTTTCTTTCTCTCTTTCTCTCTTCGTCTATTTTTTTGTTGCATTTTTAGCGTAGCCTACTCGCCAACTTCGTCCATCGTGATGCACGCATAATTTTCTCCCTGTGCACATGCCGTTTTTATTTTTCTTTTTGGCAAATCGATTTCCCGATGCGTTTCTCTTTGGCATCTGACGTGAATCTCCGATGATTGCAAGCTGGAATGAGATTGTTGCAGTAAAAATTGACGTAGTCATAGTAAAGAGGATTGCGGATTCTAATCACAGAATTTTCAGTTATATCAATTTGTACATAAATTTTCTTTTCGCAGATCCTAAAATTTCTCGTTACTTTGATGCAAAGTTTTTGCTCGCAAGCAGCTCGTTTACCAACTTGTAGCGTTAAACGATGCGAGAGGCAGGTTCTGTAATCTCGCAGCATGATCCTCCGGAAGATTGCGGCGCAGTGTAAAGATGTATATAACACCTGTTGTTTACCTACCTCGTAATAGACAATTCCCTCTGTCCTTGTCTGCATGCATTAACTATTAACGCTCCGCTCTAACTTCCATTAACTCCTCTATGCCTAGGTGTCGAGCTTTCTTCAGAGTCATCACGGTATAGATATCGCGGGTGACAAATGGCACATATATATACCGAGAGAGTCAGATCACACTTTCACGCCTGGGGGGTATCATATCTGCTGGAACTCGAACGAAATTTCATCCGAACCGTGCTTCAGTTCCAGATTACCGGGAGAACAGCAGCAGCAGCAGCAGCAGCGAGTTTCGGGCCACGTGTCCCTGAAGCAGACGGCCCACTTGCGGGCGCAGTCCGAAATGCCCGCTTTCCTGAGGAGCAACATCAACAGCGGCATCAAGGAATCCCTGAACTCCAGCTTCCTGCCATTTCACCAGCGCTCCAACAGCGAGAACGGCGCGAATTACGTGCCCTACAGCCCGTACGCCCTTCGCCGGAAGGAGATCGCCCGGCCGTTCTCGCCGCCGACGTCCGTGGACGCGGTGGAGCAGTCGGAATCGAAACCGCCGCCGCCGCGGCCCTTCTCGCCCTACCGGCAGTACGAGCAGTGCATCACCAGGCACGACTACTCGCCCTCGAATCGCTGCGCGACGACGAATGGTCAAGGTAGACAGGAGACGACAGCAACGACGACGATGACGACGACGACGAGACCGTACTCTCCTTACAGGACGCAGGACGCTAATCTGGACAACGGTCGACCGTATTCGCCGTATCGTCGCTACGACGATCGCGACGGCAATGGCAAAACGGACCGATGGCAGGGAGGCGTCTCGCGATCGCTGAGCCCCTTCGCCAGGGACTACTCGCCCTGGAGGCGGGAGAACGTCGACCCGCCTGGCGTGATTCAGCCGCCGCCGCCGCCTACCTCGTGCGACAACAGCGGCCGTTACTCGCCGTTTCTGCAACGATTCGCACAACCGTCGCCGCAGAAGCCCGCGACATCTCAGACTTATTCGCATGACATCTACGGCAGCCCGATGATCAGCCGCAAAAGGTAATCGAGTGGCCTTGGAAAACGCTCGAACGCTGCGCACGCTATCTTATAATTAACGTACTTAATTTTAATCTAATTATTTGTAAAATTTGCTGACGCATAAATTTGTCTTCTGTAAATATTTATTCTACACAGAGCACGAGTAAAGGATTGTCATCTTGCGCAGGTTTCCTTCAGAGCCACCGCCGCAGGGAACCCACGGCTCCACTAGTCCACAATTGTTGATCTCCCGTTTCGCGCATCAGCTGAAGCAGGAATCGCCGCCGTCGTCGTTGACGCCGATGCCGCCGCAGCAGGGCGCCAGTTCAAAGGAGTCCGCGAAGAAGCGGTTCGCGTCCTACGTGCGCCTCAGGCTCGGCAGCGAGCGCGCTCCCTCGCCGGAGCCGCCGCCGAGATTCAGCCGCGGTGAGTCCCCGCTCGCCCTTAGGAAGAATTTAATCGATCAGGGGTCTCCTGCCTGCACTCCGCGAAGGTACGCGTACTTATTTGTCAAGAAGATCATTTACAATTATTGGTCACTGCATTAGTAGCTGTAAATAATTGTTTTTCCAAAGGACAATCATGTATATGACGAATAATCTGGCTTCTTCAAGGTACGTCTCGTACTACGTACCTTCTCCACCCCAGCCGCCGCCCAGGAGGCTGTCGGAGAGCAATTCGGTGCCCGGTAGCCCGCAGCACGTGCGAGCCCGCCTGCACTACACGCCTGAACCTCAGAGGAGACCTCCGCCGCCATAACCCACCGCTACCACTGTTAAGCCTTATCAATATTTCTTGTTGGTGCCATACGCGACTGCTACGGACACCCGGACAGCGATCACGCGCACCACGTAGTAGCGAGGTGCCGATGTTACTCGTCGACGGTTGCGCACACAGAGCGAGTCATAGAACTTGTACGCACACGTATACACGGTATATTTTCGGACGTTGTAAACCAAAAAAAAAAGAAAACAGACGGAGAAGCGTGTTTTTAATACTCGAGTCGCCGCAAACTTGATTGTACGCGAGTTGAAGGCTCGATTGTATGAGAACGATTTAGCGTGCGAAACGGCTCAAATCGCGAGAAAGTATTTCACCTTAATTTAAAAATTCTCACGTATTTGGATTCGCAGACGCTTCCGAAAGCGGACATTGCCTTAACAGATTCGGCTCACTAGTTAGCGAATATTTCAGATTTCCGGCTGGCGGATATTTTCTGAACTTCTTATCGATGTTAGGGTGTAGAAAAGGGTGAAACGTGTATTTTCGAATTTAAAACGCTTCACACGCTAAATGTAAACTTCGTAAATGTAAATTTCTGCACGGCCGAGTAGTAGTCTTTAGACAATACTGCGCTGACTGTCTCGGTTAACCAATTTTGGCAAACAGAAGAGTTCAAACGAATCATTTCCTTCTCTTTCTTGTGGGGAGGAATAAAAAAAACTGAATCGTCAGAAAGAAAGAAATTTAAGATTAGATGTTTAAGATTCTCGGTATAAATTTTCGCCGATTTCTTTCACTTCGATTATTCTTCGCGGTCAAAAAGGTACAATCAATTTAATTAGGATTAATGTTAACCGAGGGGTGCGATCGGCGTCTCTAGGCCTGCGTGCGCACATTTTGCATAAGCGAGGAAGTCGTTTTCGCCGGGACAGCTGCAAACGGTCTCCTGAACGTTTGCACGGCTTTCCCGCGTCGCCGCGAAACGCGAATCGAACCACCTTCGTCAGTAATTCTCTTCTCGATGTGTATTCATCATCAGTACGCAACGGGAAATACAATGCTCAACTTTTTATATCGCTTACGTATTAAAAGAGTACAGCGACGGAAGAGTGCGACATTAACCGCGATGCACCGCAACGTTTTTTCTAAATAAAAAAAAAACTCACACACACACACATTACACTCTCGCATACATACACATACACACACACACATATATAGGGGAAATACGGCGTCGTGCCGCAAATAAACGCGTAAACCGTTCCTATCGCTCTTCGTTTACGCTTTTTTCGATCTTGAGATTGTATCACACAAAAGAGGAAGAAGGAGAGAAAGAATATACGCAACGAAGCTCGCTTTTCTTTCAAAGACGGCCTTGCGATATCTCAGCGACTCAAATTACAGCCTCTCAGCGACTTTTTCACGTTTTATCATTACTCTATTCATCATTATTATTATTATTTATATAAATACGAGAGTCGTTCACGGTACGTAGTCGTCGAGATCGAGAATGCGAGTCGAATCGAGAGGGATATTATCGTCCCCACTCAATTTCTCTTCGTAAAAGGAAAAATAAAAGAAAGGAAAGCGAAGGCACAATAATGTCGCAGCAGCACGCCTCATAAAGTTCTACTACGAAACACGAATGTATATTACTCAAATCGGCAGGGCGTCACACACGGTTAGGATGTTGTAATTATTATTTTTAATTAACATTTAATCCCTAATTACGTTCAAGTCTACACTCGTAATAACCTTTGTCACTTATTTGACAAAAGGATCTGTTGCAATGTAAATAAACTTATATTTATACGAGTCATATATTCTCTTCTTTTCGCTTTTTCTCCTCCGCATTTTTTCTCCCAGTAAATGTTTTTGTGAAAATTCTTTACTATTTTTAGCTATGCTAAGTTTTTGCCGTTTGTAACCAAATTAAATGCATGTTTATTCATTGCCTGAGATAATACAGAGAATAATGTAAGTCATTTGAATAATCATGAATTCACTAATATATTATATATAATATTCACTAATTAATGTGATGAATAAGATGCAAGTTTGTCCTCGTTCGATTTGTACCCTATTCAATTTTTTGTGATTGAAAAATATAATTTAAGATGTGTAAATTTTGTAGAAGTATATTATTTCTTTGGTTTTAATTCAATTTGATAAATTATATAATTTATTATATATATTAGACTATGATGACTAGGTATATAATATGGAAGAATCAAATCAAGTTACATAAAAGCACATACTTTGCGTTTAATTCAAAAGGTATGTTTGTAATTTATTATTGTCATACTATGATTACTAAGTACATATTAATGGATTAGATAAGAATTCACCATGACATACTTAAATTTTCTTATCAAAGAATTAAGTTATTCAATTTTTTTTTTAAAGAATTAAACATAAGAAAATAGGAACAAAAAATTTTTATATCTCTAATGTTGGATATTACAAATCTCTATCTTTATTAAGGAATTCTATCGATCTGTTTTCATTAATTCCATTTGTTACGAAAATCAAATGACATGTTTATATGATATTATCGCAATTTATTATAACACGAGCAAAGTTAACATG